ATTAGCACAGTTGGCATTTCTGGAAGATTCAATGGCAGGCAATGGCCTGCTAACATTAGGCCCTGTGAAATATAATTTGTGTGATTCTGTTCTAATTTGTACTTTGCCAAGTGGGGGCATTGTTTCATCTCTCTGTTTTATTTCATGTGAGCAGTCGGCCAACTGCATTGCAAGACAAGACTAGGGAGATTGATGAGGATGATGTCCATGATAGGGATTATGATGTTGCAGCTCTTGCAAATAATTTAAGCCAAGCATTCATATACAACGCTACGCAATTACTTGACAGGAAATCAAGTCGAGAAAACATTCAGAGCTGGAAGTAAGGTAACACTCTGTGACTTTTGAATTTTGGTTCTTTTTTCTTTCCTGATTATTTACAAAGGATCATGTCATGGATGGAGTAGAGAAAATCTAGTTTAACGTTTACAATGCAAGTATTCCTTGCGTTAGATAATCTGATTATTATGGGGCAGATAGAAATGATCTGTAAGCCTTGTCATACTTAGTAGTGGAAAGTTTAAATGCATGGTGCATACTAGGTTGGTCTACATTCTGCGTGTTAAGTTGTAACATATTTTTGCAAATGGAAATAACTATAAACATTTTAAAATTGTATTGGGCATCTTGCCTATGTGTTGAATTCTATCAATGCAAGTACAATCAAGTCAATATAAAATTAGATGGTTGATGGCCATGAGGTCAACAAGACACTATTTGGTAATAGATCTGTGTGTATTTTTTAACTGATGAATCTTGGTGCTTGACTAGTGGTAATATGAAAGTGGTGTATACACTAACTTTATAATTCCCGAATTCATAAAGCTGTGTCTAATAGATTTAATACATTGATCACTACAACACCTATCACTTCATGACATATTAAATTGCGGGGACGATATCAACAGGAGTTTGGTAATATTGAGATAAGCACAGCCTAATGATTATCTTTCATTCTATGGGGCAGTCAATATTTCTTTGATTGGGTTATAATAAGCATAATTTCTACTTAAATGTATGGGGCAGCTAATCTTTCTTGATTGGGTTATATTAAGCATAATTTCTGCTTATCTGGAAAGTCTTATTTCTCTTTATTTCATCCATGTTTCGTGTCTTTTTATCTATTCGGTTATGCTATGCAGGTAAGATGCTTCACTAAGATAACTGGATATCATAAAATTTTGAATCTAAATCAATTTAAAAGTTAGCCAACCTAATGCCTTGTGCCCATTTTTCTAATTCAGTTCTCTATCTTAGAATCCAGTCATATTAGGTTCTAAACAAAAGTTGGAAAGTTGACATAAGCGACTCTTGGAAAAGCTAGAAAATTGGGATCCAGTAGCTGTCAAAGTACGCGGAAGCATTTTGTTCTTGAGACTAGTTGGAGATTTACATGGTGCAATTTGGATTGTCTACTCAAATTTTTGTAGGTAGTGATTGTTCATTTTTTTTGTTGGTTGTATATTATTTGTGGAAGAGGTGATTAACAAGGACCAATGAATCTGTATCAAATCTAATTTTTTAAGATATTCATGGAGATGGTTGGATTGACAGATCAATGGGCTGCTCGCTTCTTTGATGATTGTTTAGTGAGGGAGAAAATGGAACTCAAAAATTAAGGAATGCTTACATTTTATTGGATTTCAACTTTTATTTTAATCTTTCATATATGAAGTTTTGTAGAAAATAATTATTAAAATAAAATCATATATATTTTTAATAATTTAATTTAAATTAGCGACGAAAATCCATTGGTAATCATCAACGGACATAATCTATAAGTAATTTGTGACGGAAAAAATTGTTGCTAATTAGCAATAGAAATATACGTTGGTAAACACCGATGGCTTCTTCTGTGGCTAAATTATCGATGACTTTAGTAATTCGTTGCTAAATTAGCGGCGGGGTTATTATCGATAGATTTTTCGA